TTGTCGCGTCCCAACGGGACGCGATAAATCGATCCCCGAGAGGTCGATTTCTACCCGCCGATTCAGGCGGGTAGTATAGACCTAGCCTTAATTCCCTTAGCTGTGGGAATCATAGGAATGGACAAATGACTTCTGAATTTTAGCTAGGGTTGGCTATGACAACTTGTTTCCCAAAATCTAAAGGGAATGCTGAAACATATAAATTCCTGTCCCAGACAAGAAAGTGGGAAGAATGATTCTAGCACTAGTTTCTGAAGGACTTATTATGCCACAGTTGGACAAATGTGTCCAGTTTTGTGTATCACACTGAAGAAAGGATACTGAAGAAATAGAAAAGGTTTTGGTGATATAACAAGATTGATGAAATTGGTTGGAAAAGCTGAGATTCATGGGAGGAAAAGAGACTAAGAGGGGAGAGATTTGAAGTTTCTAAAGGAGATGTTAAAGGGAGCTGTAGATACTATAAAAGGCTTACGTTGATCCAGAATGAGGGCATGTGGACAAAAATAAGGAAACAGCAGAGAGAAAAAGAGAATTTACATTGGGTGCAAATTTTTCCCATAGTGGGGGAGGGGTTGGAATGGGGAGTGATAGGGATGTGAAGTTGTGGATTGTAGAGGCAGCAGTAGTAAAGTCAGGTTTACAGAAGAACTAGAGAGAGACTTATTATGAAAGACTATGGTATAGTATTATTGTGTTGAGTTAGACAATACTGAGCCCTAGATCCGCTAAGTTCGTAAGGAAATAAACAGGCCTTCATAATAATCCATAAAAATCCCCCAGGAGTCCTAGCTTGGGCTGCTGTATTACTTTATTTCTCTTCATGCTGATGAAGAGTGTGTCCTGCCAGAAACTCTCACAGAATTCCAAATATGCCTAAACAGCTGAGTTTTGGCTTGAGAGGCAGTACATTGTGTGCATGTGTTAGGTAAGCATATTTATATTACCAGAGCTGCTGTTCAATTTTCCTTGGTCAGCATGTTGTTGATTTAGCTGTGTGAGTTTTGAACTGAATTCTCACTTGTTCTCATTTTTCTACTATAACAATGTCATTAAAAAAGTAAAAAGATAGCACCCTCATGCCAGGCTAAATAAAGAGCTGAATGCCTGATGGAATGAGCTAATGCATATTTTATAATGTTTAAGACTGCTGTAAGCTTCAGGAATAATAATGAAGGGCCACAGAAGGGCACAGGAATGAAATGATGACAGCACTATGCATTTCTTTATAAGTGCACCCCAGTGTGCATTCCTAATGTGGTTGCAAACATACAGTATAGATGATTTTCATGGCTACCCTCTCACTTAGTGGAAGCATTACTTAATTATGAAGTTGTAGAGCTATATAAAGAATGGATGTTATTCCAGACATGCCAGTGTTTTAAAAATTTAGATGAGAGAGAGAAAATACTCAGAGCAATCTGTGTGTGGGTATGTGTGGATGGAGAAGCTTGCAAAGCACCTGCATCTGCTGTTCCCATTCTAGCTGGCACAGTTATTTTCTCACTTTCTTGAACACAAAAACTTACAAATGAGTCCTGTGTGTACAGGGGAAGAAAAGCTTAAAGCTTACATTTTGGTGTCATTATTGTCTTGTGTGTGTTTGTTTTCATTTAATTTCCTCTGTTGTGTTATTTATGGACATAAACAGGATGGGTCAGACTCTGATCTCATTTACAACTGGTGTAAATCCAGAGTAAGTCCATTGAAATCAGTGGAATTATTCTGGGTTTACACTAGTTTCATTAAAGCAGAATTTGGTCCAATGAATTGAACGTGCATGCGCATTCCTGCCTTCAGAGCTATTGTTAATGATATAAAATATCATGAAGCAAATAAAATAAATAAAGATACCGACTTGAACTCTCCTAGTCCACTTGGGCATTTCACAGTGTTGAAATGTAACTGCCCTCTAAGGTAGCTGGGTATTTCCCTTTAGGTAGACTAGGTAGTAAGTGTCTCAAATGTTACTTTTAATGAACGTTGCCTTTTCAGTTGGGACCTTGGTGCTTATGTGACCAGTTACTTGTTTGAGGGGAGACTGAACTGTTAGGCTTGGTCCTGAATATGGGGCAGCACGTAGCTGTGCTGTTCCGGAAAGAGCTCTGGGAAGGAAACTCTGCTTCTGAGTCACAATTCCTCCCCTATTCTCTTCTTGCTCTAGGAGGAAGTAAATTACTTCACCCCTTTTAGATATGCCATTTATTTCCTAATCCCTACCCCCGTTTCTGGCCACATTTGGTGGCTGACGCTTGGGGTATAATTGAGACAGAGCGCTCCACTCCTCCCCACTCAGTTTCTTGAGAAGTGGGTGTGATGGGTTGGATCACAGAAACCCCCTTGGGGCTGCCAACTGATGTGCCAAGACTACTTCTGCCCCTGCTTTCCTGCCCTGGCAGCTTGGGACTTCAGTGCCCTGCCTGATTTGAGCCAGACCCGCTAACCTGCTGCAAACCCAGACCCAGGTCTGAACCATGTCCCTTAACAGCTGTAGGCTTAATTGAAAGCAGTTTAAGACGTGGTCCTGTCTTTAACACTCAGATGCCCAACTCCAAACCCCAAATAAATTCATTTTACCCTGTATAAAGCTTATACAGGGCAAACTCATAAAGTGTTTGCACTCTAACACTGATAGAGAGGTATGCACAACTTTTTGCCCCCCCCCCTCCCAGTATTAATACATACTCTGGGTTAATTAATAAGTAAAAAGTGATTTTATTAAATACAGAAAGTAGGATTTAAGTGGTTCCAAGTAGTAACAGACAGAACAAAGTGAATTACCAAGTAAAATAAAATAAAACAAATCTAAATCTAATACAGTAAGAAAACTGAATACAGATAAAATCTCACCCTCAGAGATGTTTCAATAAGCTTCTTTCACAGACTGGACGCCTTCCTAATCTGGGCACAATCCTTTCCCCTGGTACAGCCCTTGTTCCAGCTCAGGTGGTAGCTAGGGGATTTCTAATGATTGCAGCCCTCTTTGTTCTGTTCGACCCCCTTATATGGCTTTGGCACAAGTTAGGAATCTTTTGTCTCTCTGGGTCCCTAACCCCACTTCTAAATGGAAAAGCACCAGGTTTAAGATGGATTTCAGTACCAGGTGACATGGTCACATGTCCTGTAAGACCCTAAGCCTTCATTCCTCCCAGCCTGACTCAAAGGAAGGCCTGCAAGCAAACAGAGCCATCCACAGTCAATTGTCCTGGTTGATGGGAGCCATCAAGATTCCAAACCACCATTAATGGCCCACACTTTGCATAATTATAATAGGCCCTCAGAGTTATATTTCATATTTCTAGTTTCAGATACAAGAGTGATACATTTATACAAATAGGATGACCACACTCAGTAGGTTATAAGCTTTGTAATTATACCTTACAAGAGACCTTTTGCATGGAGCATATTTTAGTTACATTATATTCACACTCATTAGCATATTTTCCTAAAATCATATAGAGTGCAACGTCACAGTGGGAGTCCAGGGCATGCAGCCCCTGCCTTCCACCTATACCCAGAGCTGCAATCCAGGCAATTTTAATGTGGCCATTCAGAAGGGGAAGCCCTTGCTCTGTAGATATCCCATTCACCAGTTGCTGGGGACACTGTAACCCTTTGTAGGCAGAACCACCACTTGTGCATGTAAATAGAGATGTGATTTGCAGGTGCAACAAAACAAGCGATTTGTGAACATATGGCCCGGAATGTATTGATATGGTAGAGTCCTGCATTTGACGTTTATCCACAACAAAGCAAACAGGATCATTCGGCAGGCTGAGTGCAATCAAACAACACGTGTTTTTAATACAGGCAAGTGCAGGCCATACATCAACGGATAGAAAATGTAGGTCACACTACAATATGGAAGTCTGTATTCTGGAAAGCAGTGATTCATAAAAGGACTTAGGAGGTCTTTATAGGTGACCAACTGAATTTGAGGTCCCAGTGTGATGATGTGGTCAAAAGGGCTATCATGATACTTGGATGGATTAACAGGGAATCATCATGCATGAGTAGGGGAGATATTACCTATGTATATGGAATTGGTGAGACCACTGCTGGAATCCTATTACAAGTTCTGGTGTGCACATTTTAGAAAGGATGCTGAAAAAATTAGAGGGGAATTGGAGAACTATGAGAATGGTTTATGGGCTGGAAAATATGCCTTGCAATGGAAGTTTAAAAGCTCTATTTATCTTATCGCAGAGAAGGCTAGGAAGTGATTTAATCACACTCTTATAAGTAGCTATTCAGAGAGAAGATATCTGATAGTAGAGGGCTCTTTAGTCTATCAGACAAAAGCATAAAAGATCCAATGGCTGGTTAGGAAAACTCAAACTGGAAAAAAAAGACAAAAACGTTTTTACCGTGAGTAATTAATCATTGGAAACCGATTACCAAGGATGTGATAAATTCTCCAGAATCTTTAAATCAAAATTGGATCTCTTTCTAATTAGGCTCTACTTTAACTACAAGTTGTTTGGCGAGGTACAGAAATCACTCCGTTGAATTCTATGGCCTGTGTTATGCATGATATCAGACTAGATGATCATAATGATCCCGTCTGCCTGAAAATCTATGAACCATTCAGTTTTGTTTCAAATGTTTCATGAGATTTGAAATGATCCAAATGGAGATCTACTCAGTGTACAGTGTGTACTTGTGTCACTGAAAAGTTGTTATTGTGCCGTTGGAAGTTTACGGTGGGATCATGAGACAGACAATGTGACTCTCTAAGCTGTTGTTGTGGTAAATTTCCCTCATGAGAATCATGCTTTGGGGGCTGTCTGCCCTTATCCTCATCCACTCTATCTTACACCAAGAAGGGGCTGCACTAAATAGAAATCCACTAGCAAAGAATAGCATAGAGGATAGATTCTTGGAAAGTAAAAATTCATTTGAAATTTTTCACCTTTTAATTACCAATGGGCAGTACGCATGGAATTGCTCTATTAGGGTTGCTAATGTAGATCGTGCTGAAAATAAAGACTTCCCTTGCCCTTTCCCCATCATGGGTTGAAAGCTAGCAGCTTGCCAAGGCTGGAAATCTGTCTTTCTGCCTCCAGGAAAGCTTGGAATGAAACTTCTTGGAACAGCAAGGGAGCTTTGCAAACTTTCTCCCTTATGACGACTTTGTTTTCTTCCTTGTTCTTCTTTTACAGAAGCAAATCCAGAGAAATTCAACAGTCGCTTTCGAAATAAAATGTTTTATGCTGGGGTGAGTTGTGAATAGATTTTACAGAATAGCCTTGGTTTATTTATTTAAATTATTTATTATTTTATTCCCCTTCCTCTCCCTTTCACTCCTGAGGCTTATGACCATTTCTTTTGCTTGTCACCTTTAAAAGTACATAGTTTGCTTTCAGTTACTTCTGGCAATGCCTCCCCATGTCTGTTTGGAAGGGGTTGAAGTATTATTTCCCTATAATAGTTAGTAGTTCAGAAGAGTGCTACAGCATTTGGAGGAAGGACTGATAATATCCTGTACCCGCTGCTGCAGATTGGCAAGCGCTTCACTGTTGTGTTCACATTTATTCCCATCTGTGGGCAGCACTTGGATACTGAATTTACTGGGGAAATTGCTAGCGCATAGGAAAAATCGTTGACCATATCTTTCAGCCCCTGATGAGCACTCCTGGACTTGGAACTAAAGAGAGGAGGAGGTCAGAGAGCTGCTATTTGGAGCATCTCATTTTCATACATGAATATGCAAATCAGATGGCAATTTCTTATCCAGGAGGGATGTGGATGGGTCTTCAGCTTTATTCTAAGGTGTAATTAGGAAAGGAGGTCATTGACTGGATAATACTTGCCATCATACATGTCTTTCCGCTGTCAGATTCTATCACTGTCATCACACCCAGAAGCCTTATGCTTTAAAAACAAACAAACAAACAAACAAACCAGAGCAAGAATCTGCATGATGATTTGGGTGCACAATGGTATTCCATGGTAAATCTTCCAAAGTGGAGTGCCTTTTCTTAGTGTAGCACCTTAATGCAGCAAAACAAGTGTACCAATCTTCCCTTCTGTGTCTCGCCCCCTGGCTCTGATTCAAGGGACTCTTGAGAATTTGAAACGTGCACTGTTAACTGGATGCTAACAGAAGAAACTTGGCCTAAAACTCTGTCAATGGGATCAGGAAAGAAAAGAGTTTAGCTCAGGATGGTATGTGGTGGCAGAATCTGGGGAGGGATGCAAAGGAAGGAAAGTGAAAGGAAGAAGCTGTAGATCATTCAAATAAAAAAATTCTGATTTGAATTCCCTCCCTTTTCCTATGTCTGGTAGGCAGCCTTTTCAGACTTCCTGCAGAGAAGTTCCAGAGATTTATCCAAACATGTTAAAGTTGTGGTAAGTATAGGAAAGTATGGCATCATTTTGTGCAGTGTGAGTGTGAGGGAGAGAGAGAGGAAGGGGGGGGGAGAGAGAGAGAGAGAGA